TAGGTTATGTTTGACTCTTTTCTTTATTTCTTTATTTCAATTGAGTAACACGCTGAAGTTGGTTGTGCACACCCCAACGACAGCATGAAGACTGTAGAAATTAAGAATCTGAAATTTGTTTTTTGATAAATACACATTTAACCGCAATTTTTCAATGTAATAATTGCTGATATAATGTAATTATATGCGAATATAGCAACATCGCCTCCTCTGTCCGGTTATAATAAATGAAATGTAAACTTTTTTTTTTTTTTTTTGCCTAAGCCAATAGATTTGTGGCTTATATGTCCATGAAATGTAAATGAGACTTGTTAGAAATTGCACTTTGTGTTTTATATACTCACCTAACAAAAGTGGAGATGTAGAGGAAATATTCTAGAAGCAAAAAATTTGCCTTTGCTCCCAACACACAAAGTACTATGTTGTAAAATCAATCAGCACTTAAGTTTAAAAAAAAAAAATGAATTTAAGTTTGCAAGCTTCAACCTTGGACTGCTTAGACGAACAAGATTTATTGGAATGACAAAATGATTTTCCACAATGCTGCCAGATGTACAGCACAGTTGAAATGTACGGAGCCAGAACGTTACGCTTTATGCACTCGCAGCACAAAAATTATGCTCGATCGAGAGGTTTTTATGTAAAATAAATCCCCATCTTAAACTTTCTATCATCAAATTAGAAAATTCTCAGATAAAAAAACTCGAAGCAATGCTGACGTAACATTGCCAGTTGCAAAAGCTTAAACGGCGTTTCTTTACGTCAACCACGAACTTCCTCTAACTACAAACTAGAGAAAAATGAAATGAGATAAATAACAATTATTATACACTACAAATCTGGCGGCAAAGGGTATACTAAGTTTGCACCAATGTATGTAACGTTCAAAAAGACTTAAGACAGACCCATCTTTTATTACGCCAATCGATTCAAACTTTTCTCTCAAGCTTTAAGATTTAAGACTGTCTGCTTATCTAATTGCCTTCAGGTAGACCGAATCGCGAAGACCCATTTTTTGAATGTCATCCCTTAAAAGGGTTTCCGTCAAAAGTGAGCTTTTACATGGAAATAAAATGTAATTATTGATATTTTATCAAGAGAAATTTTGAAATATCGTATTAGACTAAGTGTGGTGAATCCTTGACTTGACTAGAAATTTTTTTTTCATAATTAATTTTAATTATTACAGTTTAATATCTGGCGATACATGTTCTTAAATATTTCTTTTTAAATGGAACATTTTGCCACTTTACCGAAACTATCATACCAACACAGCATACTCGCCAGGCACGTTCCTCTTTTTAAATCACGTAATTTTAATTTATAAATTTCCTCATTTTCAAGTTACTTTTGAACAACACTTACATATATATATATAAATGTTTTTTTATGATTGTTTCATTTATGAATTTACTATTTCTCTGCTTTAGTATACATACACTGCTACTTGTATTCACATATGCAGGCGAGTAGTATATGTATGTAGGTATATACAATCGAACCCAAAAATAGTGAACGTTAACAAAAAAAATTCTATTATAAATTGTGCATTCAGCTATTCGCATAGCTGATGAGATTACTGTATTCACCAAATCTTTATATATACGTAGATATATATGCTTTTCTGCAAGCGCCTTTTAAGGTTTGTTTTTTATTCCCGAGTTATCTAAAAATAATTCAACGTCTAAATAAGCATTATGAACTTAATACGATTTTGATACCACTACCTTATCTAAATGAAAAAGGTACTCACTTATTAAAGCCACCGCGGCAAAAATTCAATCAAAAAACCAATAAGAAGCAAATTTTTAAACTTTTAAAAAAAGTTTTTTGGCCTCTAAATATCATAATAATAATAATAATAATAATATTTTAATAATATTTTTGCCACGGTGGCGTTAATACGTAAGTACCGTCAAAAATTCAAGAAATAATTTGACAGCTGATATGTGTTTTATTTATGTCTTCGTCTTAAACAAGAAAATAAAAATTAGCGTAAGGATTCCCGGTATAAAAAAATCATCATGACCGTGTTAATGTTTCGTAATATTAACTGGGGTAACCACTGGGTAAAACGATTGACAACAAAACAATCTTGAAAGATTTTTGCTCTGAAACGAATAATTTTTCGCAACTGTCACATATGTAAACACACTCTGTGCATGTACACGAAGATTCAGCGTACATCCTCGGTTTAGGTAATGTTCCTGGTCATCACGGAGATTTGGAATTTTCAATTGGATGATCTTGCGTTGACTATTGTCTGCCACGGTATTTTTCACTCATTTAACACGATGGAAAATATGCCCACGAGATTAAAAAGTTCTTCTTCTTATCCTTTCCAGATTCAATTTTTATACATAGAGAGTATTGTTTTTTAACTACTAAAACATTAGTTGCATGTGCTTGTTTAACAAACCAAAAACAAGAAACTTTTGTTCTTTTCCATCACATCTCCGTCATACTGTTTTTTAAGCTTTCTCTTCTTTCTCAAAATGTAAAACAGTTGACCTTCGCACAATTATTAGTTTCGTTTTCATTTCGAGAAACTTGAAAAAACTAACATCAATGCATGGCATAGAGCGCTTAATATATACGCCGTCTGTGGTTAACTTTTCAGTTGGCATTCCTGCTCGCTTATCGATATATTTGCGACTATTTGTAAAAATGGAAATTAAAATGAACTGTAATCACTGTGCGTTTTTTCGTTGTTAAATTTGTGATCGCGAAAATTGAAAAAAATAAATAAGGGCTTTCGTTATCTTATTTATATAGAATTTTTTTATATTTACTCAAGCCGCCGTTCAAGATGGGTTTGCAGGCACACTTGGAAATAGATCATTTGTTAAAAATGAGGCGTTATGTGAACGTCTGTCGGATTTCCGTCTTTGTATTCTGAAGTTCAACTCTTAGGTATGATTTTTGAAAAATTCAAAGTCAATTATGTAACTAAACCTGGTGCACTGAGCGAAGCAGAAGTGTACATTTATGATATTTCCCATCGAACCGTAACCAATCATAATGCATGTGAATTCCTTGCGTTTCCTTACACGTATGCATTTCTCTTTTTGCTTCGTCCAGCTATGTTACAAAAATTGAGATCGAGAACCAACAGTTAGAAAACTCTGCGGTAAACGTATAATTGTTAATTATTAGAAAACATCGATCGGTGTACCTTTTTACTTGCCTTGCAATAAACTACACATAGCCCGCTTTGCTCTCACGTTGTACATACATACACTTTCCGCGGGTGATATACGTGATTGTATGATTTGTGAGATACAGTTGACAGTTGACGTACACAGATATATTGTAGTAAGCATAGACTGTCACTGTTTACTTTCCTGTAAAAGTGGTAGTAGCAGTAGTTTACGCTACAACAATAAAACTTTTGAACGTAATCAAATATAAATATAAGTAAACATAAGCATAATACAATATGTCTGGGAAAATAAACACCAGAAAGTAATTAGAAAAAAATAATATTTCGCTGATTCTTGCTCATAGAGTATCAGATTGGACATATAAGCAACAAATCTATTGGCTTAGTCCATCTCTGTTCAACATACCAAAAAAAAAAAAAAAAAAAATAGAGTGTCAGCTAGACTTTAATGTATTATTATTATTATTATTATTTTAATTTTAGACTAATGAAATGAATTCTTAGACTAAAAAAAAGACATTGAGCACTAGCAACACAGGCTATCGGCTCTAGACTTTAATGTAGATATCTGCTTCTTTGTAATAAACGATATAAAACGATTTAATCAACAAACACAGCACTTTCGTTTTCGTTCTGTTAGAACATATCAGATAAAATAACCGATGACTCAGTCACACTAATAGTCTAATAGTAGAATGCGATTCTGAATTAGTACAATTAAGTATATTTCGAATTACTGCTTCTGGTACAAGAGTGTAAAAATTTTTAAAAACTGAAATTATAATGTATGCAACATATTACACACTTCCCTAGATTAATACGGGCACTGAAATCTGTTTTTGTGAGAATTTTTTTAGGCGGTGTATGAAAATTTCAATCACATTGAAACATAATTGACGAAGTTATCAATAAAAGAAAAATAGTAGGATTGATCGGCCATATAGCTTTTTTGATTTTTCATATGTATGTGTCCCATCACATTACGTAAGTACAATTCCATTACATATATATTGAATTCTGTAATCGCATAAATAAGTTGCTGAACACACAAGAATTTTCATTTCGAGGTTGGCTGCGCGCCTCGCTAGGTCGCTGAGTTAGTTTTTTGCTAATGAAATGGTTGGCGACCACCTTCTTGCAAGCGATGCTAATTCTGAAAGAACTTCAAAATTCCAAAGGAATCATTTCATTCTTGTATATCTGGCTACCGAGACATTACTGCAACAGTCGTTACAAAAACTGGTCCCCGGCTACATGGTAACTGAAAGAATGTCAAGTCTAAAGGAGTGCGAAGAAGTATCTTCAAGTGTCAGACTGCGAAGGATAATGGTTATACGTTTTGAAAAGTTCTATATGGGTAAACCAAGTGCATATGAAAATAAAATATTTTAACAATGTTCGTATGTCTCTTTTCTAGATCAGATTTTCGAAGTTTCGATGACATTCCAAGTAGCTGCCAAGCTTCGGGTCTTGATTTCGTTTAAAAAAACAATTCATAGTTATTTCGTAAGGTATTCAGTTATTTTTCATGTGGAACTTTTTTTATGGGGTTCCTATCCACCGCATAAAAAAAATTCTTTTTAATTGTGCTGCGAAAACTATTGCTTATAGTTATTTGTGAAATTTTGTGCAATTTTTTAGGCGGTCTTTATCCAATGCACAAAAACAGGTTTGAGTATACTTGTAAAACATTTTTTTTAAAGCATTATGATATAATTTACGATTTGTGACAAATATTATTATTATTATTTTTTTTTATTATTATATAGACGACCAAACACTCAAGAGATATCAGTGTACTGCTTGCTATATCTAAATTTAGGTTACGTCGTTTTTACGATATCTTAGTTTAAATAAAAATATAAAAAAGTTTCGTACAGCACGGTATCGGTACAGCAGGGTGCAAATTAACCATCTTAAGCGATGAACGCTTGTATGTAATATGGTAATTATATATTAGAAGTAAAAATTAGTTCGGTGCGTTTTTTATGTTTCAAAATGAATAGATTAAGCAAAGTATTGTTTCCATCTCTCAAGTAATTTTTTGAAGCCTATGTCGGAAAAAATGTCTGGTCACTTGTGGTGTGGTACAAAACAATAAACGTGAAAATCTAGCAGCATCCTTTGAAAGAAGCTACAAAAGTAAAAGTTCCCGCTATAGTGTGAGAATTTATATAGATGTCCGTAGCTGCTTCTTACAGTCATTCTTAAAACTCAGACCGAACTCCGGCTCGGTTGTTCCGAAAAAAAAAACAGAAAAAAAAATCAATGGAGTAACATCTGTCGAATGAAAATTTAGCCTAAACCTGCAGTGCACTGTTTACGTTAACAAGTACGGACAAACTTACACATTTTTTGTGGACCAAGACAACCCGGAATTTTTTACAGGAGGATGTTCTCAAGATGACGCACAAGGATAAAATTGGAAACTGAAAATTACAAAAAAATTTTTCTTAATAGATTGCTGCGATTATTTCAAATCAAATAAAATCAATGAATCAAATCACTAAAAATATATAAAAAGAAGTAAAAATATTGTAGTCTGCCACGGCTGAGCTTTAAATATTCGACGCCATTACATTTTTGTGGGAAGAGGCCGAAAAAATGATTCAATTTGGACCACTTTCTTATCTCCTCAATATACAAACGAACACGCAAGCTTAGATCAACTCAGAAAATGATTCTGAACGCGTCGGTGCCTGGTTGCTATATACGTACCCTCGTAATAAAAAAACTTGCGCCCAAAGCGGTGTATCCTACATGAATGCGGCATCGATAGCTGTTATAAAAGTTGTGAACAAAAATTTATTTGAAATTTTGGTTTTTCTTGCAGTTTTTAATAACATTTATATATATGGCGTAATCAGATAAAGAAACAGATCACGTGTAACTAAAGGTGTATCTATCTCAACAAAAGTGGCGAAAGACATATCCGTGTGATATGGTGACGACAGAGATGGAGAGCGTTGTGGCTTTACCGACCGAGCCCTCGCTATTGCTGCGAGCAAAATAAACTCAACTGTCTAGAGATTTGAACCCGTGAGCGCTTACCTCATGCATGGTTTATTGTCACACGCCTATAATGCACACAATCTATCTCTTTTTACATGATTTTTGTGTATAATAAGAGTATACGTTTTGTGTATATAAGAGTGGTTTTATGCTGACATATATCCATTATTTTGTGGACATTGAATCTAGCATAAAAAAGGCATGAGCATGAAATTTGTTTTTATTACTACTTAGCTCATATATCGTTTACATATAATTTGATTACTAATTTGAGTGAGCAATTGATCAGTTTTTCTTTATATTAATTTTGAAATTCGTAAGCTATATGTGCCCAGCAGATTTTCTATCTATATATTTATATATAATAACCGTTATTTCAGCTAAAGATAGAGAAAATTTGCGCTTGGAAATTCACTAACGCTGATTCATTCACTCTAGTAGTGATTAAGAGGAGTGCATGCCCTGTAGTTAACGTTAGGACATTAAAATTACATCCATAAACAAGCCAAATTTACTTTCTGATTATTGCTTTATCTATTTCCAAATCGCCCTAATTTGATTATAAAACTGCTGTTGCCAGAAATTCGCTTTTACTATCGGTATATGTAGTGCATATGCGCAGAATTGCTGAGGATCCGATGGCAATTATTTCCTCCTGAAAAGTGTAGAAAAAGTTATTTGGATCTTATAAGACCACACTATGTTTTTGAAAACTATAAAAAATGCATTCCTTGATCGGTGCAAAATCATTTAGTAAAAATAAATGCATTTTTTTTTTAAATATCGAGTTAAATTGAGAAATGTTAACCAATGTGTACATTTTCGGCATAACATCCCTTTATGTCTGTTTATTGAAGAGAAGAACGAGAAGAACCTCGACGTAGAAGCGAGGATCACCACGAGACTTCCAAGGAAAGCTAAACAAACTCTTAAGTGACTTCTTCTTTCGATTGTAGTAGTTAAACGCATATCATTTTGCTGTTGTTTTTTCAAATATTTCATATAAATGAATTTGATTTTCACTCGTTTATAGGGTATTTTCATTAGCGCCTTCAATTCTCTTCATCGTATGCACATATATTTTATGACTTACATTTATCAGGAATTTTTACTAATCTGCAAGCAACTAAATGTAAATTTTTTGTAAATTGATTATGATCATTTCAACATTGGAATTCATTTATCATTCTATTCCCCAGGTTAAATTCTGCATTCTTTTCATTTCATGTTACATCTTTGTTATTGTTTGCCATACGTGGTTTATTTATACAAAACGAGCAAACGTCAATGTAGCTTTCATTTTTTGCGCCTCTTTCAGTTATGCATGCATTGTAACGAAAAACTTGACGGGATGTATTCGTACGTTGGCAACATTGGTACATGATTAGTCTCCTGACGATAGTCAAATGTGTTCTAAACAAAACAAAATGATAATCACGGTGATAGTTGCCTGCTTACATGACTATACCCCAAAATACAAAAACGAAAGCTAACTTTGAGTTAGATGATTACACCCCTAATTGCAAATTGTTCAGAAGATTCACTGGGCTAAGTAGCTTTGCAGCAGCTCAATATATTGATGTGGATCTCTACACAGATGTCAAAGTGGATACTACCAACCCAAAAAAAAAAAAAAAAAAAAAATGTAAATTCATGACAATGCATAATGTTTAAATAAAAAGGTTCACCTTATTTTTCGATCAAAATAGTAGCTCTGCCCGTTCATCCATCCCCCTCCCTGGAATAAAAGGTTTGAAATTGAAATAACATCGTTGGCTGAAGTAAAGTAAAAAACGCAGAAGACTATTTTCAATCCATCCAAGTTATTAATCACTGACAAGTAGTGTTAATTTTTTTCAAAATCGTATACAATTTCAGTGCGCAAGTTATTCGAACGTTAGCGGGGTAATTACGTATGAAAAATTTAAGTTTCGTTTTCAGCTATTTAACAGAAACCGCTGCAAACGGAAACGACAGTTAACTTTCAACTGTGTGATTTTATTTTTATTGCATATTCCTGGAGATGTGTTACGCTGGTCATAGCGATTTCATGTACTTTAAATGAATTAATGAGCCTCGTTTCAAGCCGATTTCAATTAACTCTAATTTTCAAAACGTGAACAGTTTTATTGCCAAGATTTTCACATTTTAAATTTTTTAAAATGAAAATAAGTTTTATTTGAGTTTAGTTAATAATGTTACTTGTGCTAATCGTCATCGAAATTTCTTTTGACCAAAGCAATTATTATTTAAATTGACTCATAAAGAAAATTTAAAAGTTACGTTAAGAAATTTGTTATTGAAAACTGTATATAAGAAATTTTAATTAATGTCAATTGTTGGAGCCACGGATTACCTCTTAGAAAATGTTGCTGGTCAGTTTAATGGTGATCTTGATATGTACCCATCCAGAGCTGAGCGTTTAAAAGGAATAACAAGTAATGTCCCAAATAATGGACATTTGGATAAGTGTCTTAACGAAAAGAATTTCAAATCAGGAGAACATTTGGCCTATCGGAAGTACAAAAAGTCTGGGGACTATTGGAATTGTACACCTAAAACAGACTATACTTATTTCAAATTTTCGTCTTGCCGTCGTGTTCTGGCACCCGGTGTGACAGCTATGCCCAATATGTCACGTCGTGGTTTGGGTAATTACATGATTGAAAAAGTTTCCAATCATGAAGAAGCAGAACAACTAAATCTTTTGGATGATGAAAAGATCGATTCCTTAAATGATTCTAAGAATGCAGATCGAAGGCCAAGAGATAAACGTAAACACTGTGTTTTTATCGAAAAGATTAAAGCTGCTCATCAAAACTACTTTGAACTCATTTTATTTGCGTTACTCAGCGTGTTTCGCTATATAAGAAAACTTATTTCCAGATGCCACAACTAGTCATAAAATAGAAGAAGGCGATATTGCTTATGATATTGCTCGACCGATTGATCTAAGAAATTTGTTTCTGCATTTTTTTATGTGCGTAAAACATTCCGAATAAATTTCTTCTTTCTTGAACAATTCCTTCGATCTTATCAAATGCATTGTGAAGGAGTTGGACCCATTTAATAGGTTTAATATTAAAGCCCTATAAGGTAGAAGCAAGAGTCAAAGCTTATTTCATTGCTTAGGAAATACATTGCATTTGGAGTCTTTCATCAATTGTATGTGATATATAGCGTATTCTGAATGTTCGACGTTCATAATCTGATAGAAATTTGAAACAAAATTTTGTGCTAATGCAGCAGATCTTGGCGTAGAAGATGTAACTTCTAAGATCTTATGCGTATCTTATGTAAATGTTTCCAATGATTATTTAATTATTCCATGTTCAACTTATCTGAGGTGAGACGAGTAGAACTTTTCGATCTGGATCTTTTAGTTTCGCTAATGTTACAGGGGAAAAAACGCAAATATACTTCTTTGGCGTCTCGGGGCGCAAATATTGAATGTATTAAATTATATACTGTTTGGGGATAAAACTAATCAGTGCTTCAATCTCGTATTTCAAGTTGCGAATGATAACACGTTAGTCGTTTACGGTCAGCATTTTGTTTCAGTCGTCATTGAGTACCGAAATTCTACCTGACCATTTCAGAAACCATTGGCGACCTATTTTCCAAAAGTGTGGTTTTTTCA